CATGGTGTACAATTGATTTTATTCACTGTTGGAGTTTGTAAGAGTTATTGGTCTGTAATTTTAATTTCTTTTAATACCTTTGGTTTTGGTATTTGAGTGATGCTAATATAGAATGAGTTAGGGAGTATATTCTCACTTCCATTTCTGAGATTGTAGAAAATTATTAGAATTTCCTTTTTAAATGTTTTGATATTTTGTTGAACTCAGCAGTGAAACCATCTGAGTCTAGTTATTTCTATTTTCAAGTTATTAATTATTTACTCAATTTCTTTAAGAGATGTACACTTATTTGATTTATATATTTCTCCTGTGTGAGCTTCAGTACATTGTATCTTTCAAGGAAGTGGTCTATTTCATCAATATTATCAAATTTGTGGCATAGAATTTGTTCCTAATACTTTTATTATCTTTCTAATGAGATCAGTACTGATGAACTACTCTTTCATTTCTGATATTAGTAATTTGTGTTTTTTGTCTTGTTTATCCTAGCTAGGTGTTTGTTAATTTACTGGCCTTTTCAAAGAAGTGGATTTTGGTGTTACTGACTTTGTCTATGGAGTTCCTTTTAAAATTTCATCTGTCATTTTTATTATTTTTTTCTGTTTATTTTATATTGTACTTTTAATAGTTTACTGAGGAAGAAGCTTAATTTGTTGATTTTAGAGACGTTTTATAATATATACATTGAATTCTAGAAGTTTCTAAGCTCTGCTTTATCTATATTGCATAGTTTGATAGGTTGCATTTTCATTTAGTTCAAAATATTTTTAATGCATTTGAGACTTCTTCTTTGACACATGTATTAAATAGAAGTTGTTTAATATCTAGATATTTTGGGATTTTATGCTGTAGTTTTGTTATAGATTTCTAGTTTAATTCCATTGTTAACACAGAGCATACTTTGTGTGATTTGTATTCTTTTAAATTCATTACAGTGTATTTTATGCCCCCTCCACAAGTGTTCCGTCTTGGTGATTGTTTCATGTTAACTTAAGAAGGATGTGTGTTTGCTATTATTGAAGCATTATAGGATGTTAATTAGATCCATTTTGTTGATAGTGCTGTTTAGTTCAACTGTATCTTCACTAATTTTCTGCCAGCTGGACATATCACTTAATTGATAAAGGTAGGAAGAGTTTAACTGTTATAGTGGATTCATCTTTTTCTTGTTGTGGGTATATCAAGTTTTGCCTACTATACTTTGAATCTTTGCTGTTAGGTACATGTAAGTAAAGATTGCTATGTCTTCTAGGGGAATTCACCTCTTTATTATTATGAAATGCCCTTCATTTCCTTGATTATTTTCCTTGCTCTGAAGTTGGCTTTGTTTGAAATGAATGTAGATAATTTAATTTCTTCTTGTTACTGTTAGTATATACATCTTTCTCCATCCCTTTACTATTAGTCTATTTTTTAAATATATATTTAAAGTGGATTTTTCTATATATAACAATTGTTGTGTTTTCTCTCAAGTTTTTTCTAATTGCCTTTGTCTAGTTTTTTTGCTGTTTGAGTGGGATAAACTGAGGTGTAAATTCTTCAGCATTATATGATTTATTCCTTTTGAAAATTATATTTAAATCTGTTTTCCAGTTTAACAGTGTTTAGAGGTAGGACCTTACGAGGTTAATTAGGTGGTTTAGAGGGATTGATAACAGTCCTCATAGAAATGAATTAGTTACATAAGAGAGGGTCATTATAAATCAAGGCAACCCTTGTTGTTTTGTATTTTCCACATGCACCTCAGCAGAATCCAGCAATTATAAGCAGAATTCAGCAATTATAGTTAAGTGTTTATACAGATAAACAGGTTTCTGCTACTGGGCCTCTGCTCATGGTAAGCTATGATGCTCTGTGTTTGCTCATCAGTCTGTCTGGTTTTATGGCAGCCATTTGGCCTGTGACTTTAACTCTTCAGTGGCTCTAGGGAGAGTTGTTAATTTTCAGTTTATTCAGCCCTTTTATTTTTTTTTAGTGTGAGAATATAAATGACAATTTCCAAGCTGTTAACTGGTTGGACTGGAAATTAGAAGTTTCTCATAAACTTTTTGGAATGCAAGAACATAGGAATCATCGTCAATGTTAATTTTCTGTCAGAGAAATATGTGAAATAATTACCTTTTCATATTATCAATTCTTTTTTAAAAATTTATTTATTTTGCATTAAGATTCTTAATACATCATTATACAATGATTTATCATATCTCTTATTAGTCAATTCTTAATTTATTGTTTCAACATGAATATTAATTATGTCTGCATACTTTCAGATTTGATTTTATCTAAATATTGGCAATAAGGATATGAATAATTTATATTCAATAATATTTAAAGATATATAAAGTATACTGCAGTATGTATAATATGTATTTTATTTGGGAAGATTATACAAATGTTTATATATTTAATCTGTAGGTATTTTGTAAAGCCCAGAAATGATTTCTGGTTTAGTAATTAAATTGGAAACCAAATTAATATCAATGTGTTCAGGATAAAAACTTTTATCACTGATTAAAAGCAACATGATTTAAAAAAATCTTATATATTTCCCTATCTTGCTCTAGCTTCTGCATATGTGATTTTTGATTTTTGAGTTTGGCTTTTTTCATTTAGCATGATATTCTCCATTCATTTACCAGCAAATGCCATAATTTAATTCTTTTTTTTTTGATGGTGCTGGGGATTGAACCCAGAACCTTGTGCATGGGAGGCAAGCACTCTGCCAACTGAGCTATATCCCTATCCCAATTTCATCCCTTTTTTATGGCTGATTAGAACTCCATTGTGTGTGTGTGTGTGTGTGTGTGTGTGTGTGTGTGTGTCTGTGTGTGTGTGTATACCACAGTTTCTTAATCCTTTCATCTATTGTTGGGCATCTGGGTTGATTCCATAATTTAGCTATAGTGAATTGTGCTGCTATAAACATTGAGATGGATATATTGCTGTAAAATGCAGATTTAAAATCTTTGGAGGAAATACCAAGGCATGGGTCATATGGTGGAACATCCCTAGTCTTTTGAGGAATCTCCATACTGCTTTCCAGAGGGATTTTAGTAGTCTGCAGCCCCCCAAATAATGTACAAGTGTACATTTTCCCTACAACCTGCCAGCATTTATTTTGTTCATATTCTTGGTCATTGCCATTCTGACAAGAGTGAGATGAAATTTTAGTGTAGTTTTGGTTTGCATTTCCCTGATTGCTGGAGATGTTGAATATTTCTTCACATATTTAAGAGCAACATGAATTTTTGCATATTAACACAAAGGACTTCTTCAGGAAATATCTTTGCATTTACATACTTATTCAATATTTGTTTTTAACATATTTTGATGAGCCAATATGGTAGTCTTTCTTTGCCTTATCTTTTTGTTTATTTATGAGTTGTTTTATTCTAAAGAGATTTTTGCCTTATTTTTGAAGAAATACGAAATCCTAGATGTCTTAGTTTTCTTGTGTTTGATTACTTCTATGCTATTTGGTGATAAATAAATCTTTTAAATATGAATTCATTATGTGACTATATTTAAATAATAGATTATGTGATTTTAGCTCTAGGATATAACTTTCACTCTGAAGTTTATGCAGAGAATACATGATATTCTTTTATGGTTGATGCAGAGATACATAGTTACCAATTATATTCATTCACCAGTACATAAAAATATATAATATAATGGTATGACTCTTTCATTTATTGCTTATATCATTAAAAAAAGAAATACTATAAAAGAAAAGAAATTTGATCTTAAGAGAAGATTTAATTTACCTTATTGCTATAACTTACTAACTAATGAAAGTCCTAGTTAGTGACCAGATTTAGTTATCAATTCTTAGTCTTTAAGAAAGTGAAAGCTAATGAACAATTGTTGAGTGATGTACTTCTCATGACCAGTTCTAGGCAAATTATTGGAAGCCAGATTTCAGAAGTCTTCACTACCTTGTGCCTAATGCTTCTTTACCTTTTAAATATCCAGTCATATTTTGTTTTGCTATCCAGTGTTCTATATTGGTCTAGTTTGCCTTCTATTTCCTGAATATTGTGAAAATAGTATATACACTAGTTGGTCTGCAGAAGGACGAATTTAACCTTAATAAAAGCATACAACAAGGAGTGAATAACACTAATGCCAAGATTGATTCATTTAAGGGTATCACATGAGGTGAGATTTTTTTTGTTTTGTTTTGTTTTTTAGTTGGGTGTGTCTGTTCATATCATATACATAATGATTTTAATGCCTACTTATGGATCAGTTTCTGTGATTTCATAGATTTGGCAATATAAAAATTAATTCTTATCTAAGAATTAGCAGGATTTCTTTCTGTATATGGTTTTAGATAAGACTGTTGAACCTTATAGGACTGAAAACAAAGCACTTGATTTGATTATAGTTATTTATATAGTATTTATTTAAATTTATTTTTATTATGGTATTTGCGAATAATTTAACTTACAAATATTTTAAATTTAATATACTTTTAGGAGCTACCTTAATTAAAGAGACTGGATTCGTATTTTCCCAATTCTTTTTTATTTACTTGTTTAAGCACTAAAAAAATCCATTTGTAAGGCTTTTAAAAATTCATTCATAAAATTCTATTTTAATTAAAAGATTTATGTCTTTATTTAAACTTATTAAAGAATAAATTTAGAAAGCAAAAAAGGAAGTCTATTTTCAGGTAACTTAATATACATTTGTTTAATATGTTGCCCCAAAAGTATCATTTTAAAAGCTTCAGTGGCAATAAAAATATGCAGAAAACTGTAGGACTAAATCATTCTTTTAAAATAGTATTAGAATTTTAATATAAGAATCAATGATTTAACTTCTCTTTTTTATATAAAATTGATTGAAATGTGTAATTCCAATAGACAGTGAAACACTAAGTTTTTATATGTAACAACCCTAATTTTTCATGTCCATTATATATGACCACAAATCTGTAGAGAGAAATTTCTTCCTAGTACAGTGCACTCAGTTGTGCAAACTTATTTTTTTAGGGTCAAAGAAGAATACAAACCACAACCGACACAGTAAGTAAATGTATTGAGTGCAGTAGACTTGACTTCTGTAATTCTGCCACATTCTGCTTCCTGCACCTTTGATGGTATTAGCTTACACTAATACTGGATAGGCTGCAGCTAGTGTGTCTTCTGCTTTCTGACTCTCTGGCTTGTAAGAGAGCTGCCTGCAGCTTCTTACTTCATCCACATAGTGACTGGATGTAGTTTTTTGCTGCCTGCTTGTGGACTGGTTAAGTGTTCAAACTTGATTTCCCTATATTCTGACTGCCTGGATGATAATTGGAGCTCACATTTCCATTGGCTGTAGCTTTTGTGCCTGTGTATTTTTATTATTATGGATAAGAAAACATCTAATCTACATTGTTATTCATTTGGTTATTCAGTTACATTATTTGCTTATTTAAACAGGTGGTTTCCCTTTAGTGGGATCACTGAACTGGTAAATAACGTTCTTCAGCCCCAGCAAAAACAACAAAATGAAAAGGAACCCCAGACGTAAGTAAGCCGATCTATATAGACTAAATATTATCTTTGATAGTATAACATATTTATAAGTATTTATTAAAATACGGCCCTTGGAATAAGAATAGTGTGCCCTTACATAGGAAGATTGTTAGGGTAGATTTTTGATGTTTCTTTTAAAATTATTCCTTGGGAAAAAAATATATATATACACACACACACAACACACACACACACATATACATATATAAATGTATATGTATACACACACATATATAATATATAAAAGGAAGAGATATTTTTTCCAATTTTAGTGTAAATAATGTAAAACCATATTTGTCCAGTACAATATCTTTCTCCAGTAACGCAGTGTATTACAGAATGTGCTGTTTTCAACAGACGTTCTAGAGGACATTAGAGAGGTACTAACTTCTAAATTCAATCTTTGGTCAAATAGTTTTGGAAAGGTTATTTTTAAAAAGTTAAGCAGGTTTCTTTATTCTAATAATTCTGAAACCCCAAATATGCTTCAAGTATATTAGGACATATGCTACATAGTAAACTTTTTGACCACTGAATCTTGTTTCATTGAATAGTTTTGGGCTATAAAGTATAATTTGAGAAACATAGTAATTTATTCTCACATTGTCCTGAAACATTAAAAACATGTTAATTCTACTTCTTTTAAACTTAAAAAATTCTTTAAAAAGTTGTTCACAATTCATACTTATTCCAAAATTGTGTAAGAGAAAAGTAACAAGTCATTTTTGCTTATACCCTATTGACCCAGACTTGTCATAATGCTCTTAACTAAGTGCAAGGAAGTCTAGAATGTCTTCCCATGTTCTCAGGAATATAGGCAACCTATAATGAGCAGTAATAATATCCACTAAAGTTAGCTTATATTTGATTCTCATTTATTTCCTTAAGTGAAAATTTCATAATGCCCAAAGTTGAGATTTGCCTGAGAAATACCTTTTGCAATAAGAATAACTCTAATATTAGTTCCCACTGTTGGCATTGTTGGTTCTACTAAAATGCTTTAATGATTAGGATCAATGTCTAATTTTTTAAGGATGAAAGGTTAGGGTTAATAACATGAAGATAATTCAAATATAGAAGTGTCCTCGGGAAGGGAATTTGCCATTTGCAGTGTTTCAAGGTATAGTTATTTTTATCAGTGGGATTACAGGTAGATTTTTGCCTTCTCTTTGGTGCCAAAGAAAAACTACAGAAGATTAAGAGCAATTATGGTGAAAATATATGAAAGCATACTAAGAAACTTTTGGTTTATCACTAGGGATGCTGTTATGGCTTAGGTCTGGAATGTTCCCCAAAGTCTCACATGTTGAAAGCTTAGTCCCCAATGCAATAGTTTTCAGAGGTGGAGCTTTTGGGAGGTGTTTGAATCTTGAGGGCTCTGACCTTATCAGAGAATTAATCCATTCATAGTTGAATGGACTACTAAGAGGCGGTGGATACTGTAGGCAGTGGGTCCTAGTTGGAATAAGTTGGTCACTGAGACCATGCCCTGCAAAGATTTTTCTTGTTCCTGGTCTTTTCCTTCCTCTCTGCTTCCTGGTTGCCATGAGTTGAGCAGCTTTCTTCCATTATATCCTTCTACCATGATGTTCGGCCTCACCTCAGGCCCAAAGCAATGGAACCAGCTAACTGTGGACTGAAACCTCTGAAATCGTGAGCCAAAATTCAATCTTTTCTCCTCTAAGTAATTTTTCTCAGGTATTTGTCACACTGATGGAAAGATAACTAATATGGAAAATTAGTATGAGAAGTGGGGTCATTGTTGTGAGTACACCTGATCTGTGGTTCAGAAACCTTTGGAACTGGTTTGTGAGAGGAGTTTGGAAAAGTTTGGAAATGCAGGACAGAGAAAACTTAGAATATTGCAAGTAGAGCTTAATATATCATTCTGATGTGAGTTTAGAAGATCAGAATGCCAACAGGAATGTAGATAGTAAAGACTGTTCGTATGAAATTTCAGATGAGAATGAGGATAATTGGCAATTGGACTAGAGGCCACACGTATTACATTCTGTAAAAGAACTGGCCTACATTTTTGTCCATGTCCTTTGTATGAGGCTAAATTTAAAGGTAATGCGTTAGTTAATCTGGTGGAGGAAATTTCAAGACAGTACAACGTTAAAGCACTGGCCTTGGTATTGCTGGTGGCTTTTAGCCAAGTTTATGGCCATAATCAGCAGCAAAAAGCAGAGCAGAAAGATTGAAAAACCTTTCAGTTTTTCCAGAAAAAGGAGTATAAAATTGGGGCTAAGGAAGGTGTAGTTGCTGAAGAAGTTATGCCATTAAAGAGAAAGGAAGCTGGGCATGGTGGCACATGCCTGTAATTCTAGCAACTTGAGACAGAGGCAGGAATATTACAAGTTTGAGATCAGTTTGGGCAACTTGGTGAGACCCTGCCTCAAAAAAAAAAAAAAAAAAAAAAAAAAAGAAAAAGGAAAAAAGGCAAGGCCAGTAGATTGGGGAGAGGGAGGGAAGGAGAAAGGAAGTGTTTTGTACCTAGATAATAGGAAAGATATCTTGAAGGCATCTCAGGAATCAGCAAGATATTATCCATCTCAGGCTAAAGGATATAAAATTGAAAACTCATTTGAAAGACTTTGCTTTGAGAAAAGTATTCTGGGGCACCATGCTTAGATGTGACCACCTAGGCAGTTTTCTCCCCAGTATTTGTTTCACTGTGCTCACCTGTCCAGGCACTCAGAAGCCACTGCAGCAGTGGTACAAGTGGGCTGCATTACTGCTCTGCTGGCAGCAGACCTTGGTGTCATCCACATGGTTGTTTTGCAGGAGTTATAAGGTCATGGAGGTTTCCACCAGGATGTTAAAGAAAGGCCTGGCAGGCCAGGTAATTTGTGTCAGGGTCAGAATTCTTACAGGCAGCCCCTGAGAGGGCAATTCATGAAGGTGTGAGAGTGAAGCCAAAGTTGCAATGGAGACATCAAGAAGTAAGAGATAGGAATGTGGAACATCTACTGAGGAAAGCTGAAGGTAGAGAGCAGAGCTAGCCAAGAGAGAGGCCTTGTGGGCTGCAACTAGCAAGGCTGTTGGGCAGGTCCTGTACCAATCCATTGGGGCCCACATCTTGCCACCATGTCCCCTGGATGCTGAATGTGGATTTAATGTTTGCCCTGCTGGGTTTTCGTTTTGATTTGATTCTCTCCTTTCTTTCCATTCTCCTATTCCCCCTTTTTTTTGGAATGTGCCATTTTATGTTGGAAATATGTAACTTGTTTTTTGATTTTTTTTTTTTTTCGTAGGGGCTCACAGCTAAGAGTTTGCCTTGAGTCTCTGGAGACTTTGGACTTGGACTTTTGAGCAATGCTGGAACCATTAAGACTATTGGGACTCTAGGTGATAGACTCAGTGCATTTTGCATTGTGAGATGGGCATGAGGCTTTGGGGTTCAGAAGTGCAATGTTATGGTTTGGATATGGAATGCTCCTCAAAGTCTTATGTGTTGGGGACTTGGTCCCAAATCCAACATGTTCAGAGGTGAGGCTTTGAGAAGTGATTGGATTACGGAGGCACCAACCTTATCAGTGGATTAACCCATTGATAGCTGAAAGGACTACTGGGTGGTAGTGGAAACTAGGTGGTGGGGCGTGGTTGGAGGAAGTATGTACTTGGGGCATTCCCTGGAAGGGTTTTTTGTCCTCGGCACTTCTCTCTTTTTCCTTCTCTCTCTCTTTGTCTGTCTGTTTCCTGGCTGCCATAGTATGAGCAGCCTTCTTCCACCACACCTTTTTGCTATGATGTTCTGCCTTACTCAGGTCCAAAGCAATGGAGCCAGCTGGCAAGGACTGAAACTGTGAGCCAAACTAAGTCTTTCTTCCTATAAGTTGTTTTTCTCAGATATTTGTAACAGGGACAAAAAATCAACACAGATGCTGATGTACAATAGTAAAAAAAAAATAACACTTAACCAAAGAATCTTAAAAAGAAGGAGCAGAGATTTCAAAAAAATCAATCCTCTTTTGTTCTTGGGTGGAGGCTTTTTCTAAGAGTCATTGGTTAGCTGTTTCTTCCAAAGATCATGTTCATGTTCTTTTGGAGGATTCTGAAAACTCCATTTTAGGGTTTCTAGATGGACTTATTTGCAACAGCCCAGAGAAAAGGTTTCTTTTTAGTTGTGAAATGTGAATCTGAGAATCAACCTTTTGAAGCTTTTATTGAAGTGCTAATTGTTTACATGACTTATTGTAGTCTGACCTATCAAGAGTCCAGGGAAATTTTTATTTCATATTTCTTCAGAAGAGTTTAGGTTATAGAGAGTTGCTTATAAGGATGTTTTTTAAAAAGACTGCTTGTATCTGTTGATGATAAGACAATGAATCACAGTGATTGCCTTTGCTGTAATACTTATATTAGTTTGCAATAGACCAGAGTCAAAAGTCAGTGGTGAAAATTTGAAATACATGGGGATTTATTAATTCATAAGGATTGAGAGCAGATGAATCCCTAGAAGGGTTGATCTAATTGTTTTGAAAAATAATCACAATAGAAATTGAAGGGCTTTTGAGAATATTGTCAATTTAATTTTAATTTTAGAATTCTATTTCTTATTTCTACCTTTTCTGAAGATTGAGGATAATATGCAAAAAAGGTTTTTCATGTAAGCTATGCACTTCTTATTGGTGCTTGATTAGTCATAGAAGCTGATATGGAGTCACGAAGTGGTGAAGGCTGTTCCTGCACATAGATGTTTCCAACTTCAACACTTCAAACTGAATAATCTAGAATTGACTGCATCTGTTACCTTAGAACCTCCTTAAATTCCTAGTGGCTCAAGGCAACATAAAATAAATTAACAAATAATGACAGATTTCTTGTTCACAAATGCTTTTTAGAAAAAAAATTAATAAAAGAAGAAAAATGCTTCTTCCTAAGTACAGTTTTTATGAAAACATAATGTTTTTAATGAAAAGTACATAAACCAAAAGTTTGTAATTCTCACTGAATTGTTGTATAGTGAATATACCAGAAAATTAGCA